TGTTGTAAGTGGAGGCGATGAAGTAAAAGAATATTCAAAGAAGATGATAAAATTTGTAGAAAAAATTTTTTGATATGCTAAAACGTTTTACGGTTCAGTTTTTGTTTGAATTGCTAAACATGCACAGGACAACATCAGTTGGGTTTCATTGAAATTCATGTCATCCTTTACCATAAACTGCTTTGTAAGAGATCAAACAGCGTTGCAAGCTTTTATTTATTAAAATCTCAAAATATTATGTAAAATTCCAAAAATGTAAGCACAGGAAGTGTATCAAAATCATTGTGTTGGCTTGATGAAGGCCTTGCAGGGTTGTATGGCGGCTCGATTCTTGATCAATTGTTTTGAGGTCGTAGGTGTTGACGTTACCACAACTTCTCCCCAATGAACGCCGCAGTGTCGTAGCTATCGCAGCCGTTGCAGCTGTCGCAACTGTGGCTTGTTTCTGCTGCTTCGTTTCATTGTCATTTGAGCGACCTTTAATGCCGTCGTTACAATGTTTCGCTGAAAATATTATTGCTTCTTTACCGAGGTCCTAATTTGAAGCCATAGACATAACAGAAATTATGTTTCAAAAACAAAAAGGCAATAATTGTTTTATTTTTCTTCTCTGCCATTGAAATAATTTCCAACGTCATCATCATCATCATTTTCTTACTTACTTCATTACAACTCGTATCATTATCGTTAGTCTCTGCATCAATCAGGATTAGTGCAAATATGACGTCACGCTACCCGGAGCGGAAGTTTAAAATTTTTTAAGGAGGGTTACAGGGAGTGAGAGGGGGGTGTTTGAGATTTATTACGTCACAAATTATTTTTAGAAATTCATCACCATAAAATCTGAATAAAATTAACAAAATGCAATGCAGACTTAAAAGGCGAGAATCAATAAATTCTATTAAAACTCATCTGTAAGACATTCTGAAAAAACTAGAACAAAAAACTTATAAAAAGTGTTGTTTTGAGTTAAAGCATATTATGGATTAAACTCATGGCCTTAAAGTCGGATGAAAATATGGTTGATTTCTACTTAGGGAAACAATTTCCGACTCCAACTACTCCTGATTTCAATTTCAAGAAAAATTTTAGACTTTTGATTTACAATGTTAATTAAATATCGCTACTATCACTACTAAATAAAAGATACTCCAAAAAGCATTTTAAATTATTCGATTCGCTGTTTTGCTTAGTAACATTAATCTACATTCGTGTTTAAAAATCTGCGAAAAGATATTAATTATGTTGTTTGCAATATTGTGCACCATCTAGTTTTTGTGACCGTACACAAAATTGCGTTGTTTTGTTTTTTGCAGTGTTGCCAATGTGCAAAGTTCCAAATTGGCAAGTTTCATAACAACGCTCAAACAAGAAACATTTCCACATCTTCTCTATTAGAAAATTTGATCGATTAGAATACAAATTTCTTCATGATTTTGTTTCAATTCAGGCTGTTTATGAAATTAGAACAAATGGAAGCAGAAACCGAACAAGAATTTAGTTTAGTGAAAGACTTTGAAAGAATGATGAAACCATGGAACATAAAAATAAGGATATGAAGCGTCATCAGAGGACTACAGTTTTGAGAAATTGAATCAAAACACAAACATTCAATGAAACTACAGCTTGTTCATTTTGAGGCGTAGGGCTTATTCGAAGGGATGTTTGCGTATTGCTGAATTATTGAACAAAATCTTTAGTGAATTTAATTTAACGTTAAACCAAATAAGTAGATCATAAAAACAACTATACATTGTTTTAAATTTGTTCAAACAATATTATGTTTATTTAAACAAAGTATAAGATTCAAACCAAATGAGTGGATCATAAAAACTTCAACAAATGTTCAATTTTTTTAAACTTGATCAAAAATTTTAAAAAAATTTCTACGCGTTCTTTATAGAACCATCATTTTCTTTTATTTTAAACTTAATATTATTGTAGCAAGAATGAAAAGTATTTACGGGGTTAATTGTGAATACTTTTTGTATGAGGGGTTTTGTAAGTCACAACTTACAAGAATTCATCAAAACGCAGCACAACACTGCGCATATTAAAAGGCACATCCCTTTTTAAAATGAAAATGTGCTGGAAGACGCGTTTGATAGCAACTATTAATTTTCAGTATTAAAATTGATTGCGCGGCTCACATTTTCTGAAAAACTCGAACTTAAAAAATCATTTTTAAAATAAAATAAAAAATTTTATCCAAATTGTTAACACTTTTTGGAGTAGGAGGAAAAATATCCGATTCTGGTTTTTCCAAAACTGTGATTCCGATGAACTAGGTTAAATAAATAAAAAAAATGTGTTTGTTATGGAGCGGAAGAGAGAGAGAGAGAGAGAGAGAGAGAGAGAGAGAGAGAGAACTTTGAAGTGGTTGGTGAGGGAAATGCTACAGTTGTTTTTGTTACGTAGTATTAAACGATCGGCTCCAACCTAAACTTCGAAATGCGTTATGAGGTTGTTGACGAATGAATAAATTTATTGATAACTTATGCGGATAAATTTATTTGATAAATATATACTGAATAAATTGTTGTGTATGACAAACAAAAGAAATAATTTATTTCGGCTAAAAAATTTTTTTCCTACCGAATTTCAGAAAAATTGTTTAATCAACATTTGCTATTAATCACTTTATTTAATTAAACATTTGAAAATCTGGCACTGTTCAGTAACATGGATGTCATTTATTGAGATTTATTATTTTTTTATTTTTAAAAATATTTTTAAAAGATAATAATTTTCTTTGAATTTCGTAACGTTTGTGGAAAAATTTAGTAGAATGCTAATTGCTTACATTGAAGGAGTTAGAAATGACGTTTAACAATATTGTATAAATTTAATGCACAACAACAACACCACACAACAACACCACACAGCAATGACACTATACAACACAAAAAATTATGAAACAACGACCCACAACAAAATCACTGGGAAAAATTAAACACAACATGAAAACTACAAATAACAAACCACACAGCAACAACCGCACAGCACCACGAAAAGACTTTACACCACACAACAACCACCTTACACCCCACAACACCACACAACAGCTACACCATACAACAACACACCACTCAACGACCACCAACACCAGACGACAACCACACACCACACAACACTCCCCCAATGACGTATGACGTCCTGAAACTAATTCCATTGCCTTTCCTATTCGCTTAATGGGATTCTGTGTATGTGTGTTTGCTGCGTGCGTGTGTGATTTGTTTAAGAGTGTGTTGTGTCTATTTGTTGTCTCTGCAGGAGTCTGTGTGTGTATGTGTGCGTGTGTGTTTTGTCCGTTATGCCTGTGTGTGTTGTGTTTGGGTTTTTGTTGCATCTGCGGGTGTTTGCCTGTTTTTTATTGTATGTGTTTATTATGTCTGTTTGTGTTTATTGTGTCTGTGTGTTTTGTTTTGTTTGAGTTTTTGTTTTGTTTGCATGTGTTTGTTTGTTGTGTCTGTGTTGGTTTGTTGTGTCTGTATACGCTTGTTTTGTCTGTGTGTGTGTTTGTTTTTGTACGTGGGTCTGTTGCGTGCGTGCCTATATTGCACGCGCCCACCACTGCTGGGCTATCAAATAGAATAAATTATATTAATCAAGATTCTTCAAGTATTGCCTAACCGCCCGCATATCATTAAATTTGCGCACCGACCAACGTTTGCGCCTTTGTGCCCTCCAACTAATTTACACTTTATTTATTATTATTATTTTTTTTTATTACTATTATTAAATTATTCATTTGTTTATTTTTTCATTTAAACTTTTGTTCAGACTTATTAATAAACTTTTTTTTGGTTAATGATTGTTACTCATTTTTGGTCCATTCGACAAGTCTTTCATTTATTAATTTTTTCATTTGCTTATTCATTCATTCATTCATTCATTCATTCATTCATTCATTCATTCATTCATTCTTTTATGTTGTCATGTAAAAACTTGTGACCATTTGAACTCGATTGCCACCAATTCTTCACAACATTCATTCACCAATCTTATCTATACTTTCTTCTCAGTCTATTATATCCTCTTTATGATTAACATTTTCAAACATTTCCGGTGGAAATATTTCAAATGTTATCAACAGTTTTAAATTTTATGACACAAAATAATGAAGTCTGAAAAATAAAAGTTTTTAGTATTCAAAGCTGCCTACACGTGGGTTCATTCAGTTTAAAAAGAATTTGAAATATGTTCTTTGAAACAGAGATGAGTGACCAGCATCACACATTGACGGCACTGTTTTCATTTTAACGACATATTTTAAGTTTCCAGGTTTTCTTAGCACGAAGACAATTAAGATAATCAAGTAATCAGATAATTTCAACATAATTCAATTTCATCATATTAATCTTATATTTTCAATAAAAATGGGGCACGTCCTATAAATGCTCCTCAATATTATTTTGTAACATTTTATAACTGCACAATTTTTATTATTCAGTAGCATTTTAGCACAACTCTGCACGAGGTCAGTTTTTCATAATTTTTGCCCGACCAACATCTAACTTTTCCAAGCTAATCAAATGATTAAACAAAAACAAACACTCGAATAACAAGATTCGATTGCGTGCTAATCAGAAAAAATGCACTTCCATCCTAATTAAGACTCGTGCTTTGAAGACCATCATTAATTTCAATTTAAATAAATCTGAGTTTGTATTAGGAAAAATTGGTTGTTATAAAAATAAAAAAAATTCTTGGCAAAAATAATAGTAATAAAAAAAAATCATTTCGTTACCAACATCAACAAAATCACATGGTTCAATACTCATCTCTGAGTCACCAGCTTCAACCTGAACCAAAAATTCAAACCTTGATTGGTTCGTCATTATTGTTATATAAAACAATAAACATTTAAAGTGATTCATTCAGAAACCGCTAAATTTTTAACAAACTTTTTATTTCATCTCATTAAATAATTCTTTTAATAAACAGAAATAATTTGAGCCAACAACCACGTTATTAAATTATTTTTTCTATTCCACCAGCCACAGGCTTCCCGAAGAACCTGGACGACCTAACGGCCAAGGTGAAGGACCTGCCGGGCACCGTCATGACGACAGTCACCGAGGCCACCGATAAATGTTCCCTTCAGTAAGGAGCCCTCAACTTTCTTTCCTACGTCGCTTGCACTGTCTCTGAATTCTGCAATAACTTTTTTAAGACGAAGCTCTGTCGTCACGTTTGTCTTCAGTTTTGATTAATCGGCGAACCAATATTTTTGATTAATGTTTAGTGATGTTTCAAAATTGAAATTATTTTTATAGTTGTATCAGATATTAACAAGAATGATTGGTTCTCGACATTAGAAACAATCATTCTAACGAATTAGGACGTTCGTAATTCTTCGAGCTCTTTCAATATTCCAGCGCGCACTTTGCGAAAATAATATTTAGGAAGTGAACTGACGTGCAGTGCAAATAGGCTTGCAGGAATACGCATAAGCAGCATTATTAAAGAACAAATTTGTCCACTAAAATTTTCACATTTTAGAATTAAATTTTTTTAACCATTAATTTTTGCATTAAACGAACTTCGAGCTATCACATTATTTAATCGATCAATTAATTAGTTTCCTATTTATTCTCCTGCTAGTCTCCAATCTCTTTCTACAAGTTGCTCATGATTCAGGCTCAAGCAGACAAATGAATTATTTAGGGAGAAGAAGTTATACCAGAAGGATGCGAATTTGTGCACGTAGGGTACGTAACCCTACCCGTCACCTTTCATTTCATTACATTCTTACATTAGTGCGTTTACTACAAGAAACAGCTTAGTGATAGATCAACAAAGTCTTAAAGTGTTAGATATTTGTAGATATTTTTGATTGTCATTTTACGCAGACGTTTAACCTTCACATACACACATACACAGATTTATTTGTATATATACATTTAAATATACATATTATATATATATATATATATATATATGCGTGCGTGTGTAGATGTATTTCATATATAGTTTTGTAGTATACAATGGACAAGGATATGATGGATAATGATGGATGGATAATGGATAAGTTGTTGGAGTTATAATTGGAGGAGTGCAGTTGTTAAAGGATGGAACGGCAGAAATAAAATGTGATAAAAACGCAAAGAGGGAATGGAAAAAAATAAATTAAAGTGGAAATGTTGATGGCAGACAGAACCTCGACATCATCTTCCTCTTCGTCATCATGTTGGCAACATCATCATCATCATGTTGGCAACATCATCATCATGTTGGCAGCATCATCATCATGTTGGCAACATCATCATCATGTTGACAACATCATCATAATCATAACTACTTCTTCTTTCATCATCTTGACATCATCATCACCATACTATCAGCGTCATATCGTCACCACAATCATCACCATCTTCATCTTCATCATGTTGACATCATCATCATCATCCCATCATCACCACCATCATCGTCATAAAAATAGCTTGCTTTCCACCTTCAGCTGCTGCACGATTCATTTCAGGTCAGTTGAATGAAGCCAAATCATTAATTATAATAATGATTATTATTATTATTGTTGTTGTTGTCGTCGTTGTTTTTGTTGTTGTAGTTGTAGTTGTAGTTGTAGTTGTTGTTGTTGTTGTAGTTGTAGTTGTTGTTATTATTATTATCATATAAATAATATCTCCATTAAAAATTTTGATCGATTATTATTTCAATAATTTTATTATTTATATTGTTATATTTTCGTAAATAAAACCAGCATAAGTTAAAATGATGATGTGTGTGTGTGTGTGTGTGTGTGTGTGTGTGTGTGTGTGTGTGTGTGTGTGTGTGTGTGTGTGTGTGTGTGTGTGTGTGTAGATATCACAAATTAAAAGCTACGTAGGTAATATTTTCAAGAATAGAAATTCCATTCAAGTTTCATTCTTATTGACGCCGTTAATAAGCAACGTGGCATTTTAATTGAAGCCATTAAATATATTGCAAAATTAAAATCGTTATTTAAACAGTGAATTAAATTATTATAAATTGATAGAATAATTATAATAGTATATATTATATTATTGAAGCCCTCAACTAACTAATACTTTTAATGTTTCGTTATCACGCTTCATGAAATAAACTTGTTAAAAAAAAAAAAAAAACTTGATTGAAACTTCTGTTACAATGAAACGACAATAAATTTATGAGTTTTGTAACATCTCAAATATTATTGCGTCAGATATATAAGTGGAATAGAAGCAAACATCCACATAATACTTCTAAACTGACTCAACTAAGGTCAACTAAACGCTAGATGTGGTGTGGATGTATGCAGGTTTTGCCTTGCCACCGCGTCATAGCTAGAAATTTATGAGTTGCAGGCTGGCTGGCCGAGTTATAAAAATCAGATCCTTCCTTTATAAAAACTTTCTTAATTTATTTTCCTTGGAAGACTGTCAACATTTTAAAATAATAATCCCTATATAATTAATTTATACCGACATTTTTTCTATGCATTCAAATCGGATACATTAACACCTGTTACAATAGTTCATCCTCCACCCAAACTTCAATCAAAAATATTGTATTGATATAACTGATTTACAGATGAGTATGGCTGTTTTTAAATGGTCGATGAACAGTTGAACCGGAAGTGTAAAAATATATTCTCTAATTAATTTTTACTTTTGTAAAGTGTAATGAATTACGATTGATGTATATTTAAAATCTTTAAATAACCATTGAATGGGCAGTTGATCCGATCGATGGTAACTTACATGACGTTACAAATTCTTTTACGCCTTTCATTATTTTGAGTGGAAAGTAAAAATTAGAGCAAAATTTTCTTTGTAATTCAGCAAGTACGATTTTTCACATAGGTATGTACAGAACAAATTGAGATAAGATTTTTTTGCCATTTGAATTTTTTGCTTGTTGGCTGCTTCTTCATCCGTCAGCGGTTGCCATCTAAACGTCGTTGGATCTTACTTGATCTTCAAATTGAGATTTATTGCTTGAACCTTTAGAATTATTTGCATTTGAAGATTTTATTTATGGGCCAGGATGTTAATTGAGAATGATCCCACTTTATAACACTTCCTTGGTTTCAATTATTATGCGAGTTAGGCCTTCCTATTAGTATCAATATAAGAAGAACGCATGCAACCGGATACCGTAGTATACAATATAATGTGCACATACTTACATATTCTACGTACATAAATACATGCGTACGTACATATACAAACTAAAAAGCATATCCACACACAAGTAAAGTAAAATGCAGCACACCCATTAACACATACATCATTTTTGATACGCGTGTGTACATTTACGCATACGTTTTACATGCGTATGGCACATGCACACATGCGTACATGACATACATACACTATCAGTCAGAACGGGTAGAAATGGTGTAAGAGGGGGTTTGGATGGGAAAGATGTGCCGATAACATTCATTTGTTTAATGCTTTCAACTTGCGTAGACGTGGTCATACGTTGAAATGGCTGCGGTCATTCATTTTTGACCTGCGAAAATTCCACTTTTCTGCCAAAAATTTCGATGTGCTGTTTTGCTTATCCTGACGGTGTCTCATCAGTCATCAGGGGCGTGGCAACGTTGAAGCAGCAATGCATAATGCGAACAATACAGCCAATGAAGAGGCCTTCACAAATCTAAAATTAAATTTCCACAAACACTTTCCCATTTTAACTCAAAGAAACGCCGTGCATCCCGTAGTTAAGCCCGCAAAAAAATGACATCACATTTTTGGGTTCATCTGTTTCATAAAATCTTTTGGTCAGATAATTTACTAAAGTTTAAGTTTCATCGTCTTAAAACGTATGACAAAAATTGTAAGTACGCGGTGTACTTGCCCCACTTGACGTAAAATTCCACTTCCTAATTCTTATTTAAATTGGGTGAACAAATTTGAGAAAGTCTGGAAGATTAAATTGTGAAATGTTATGAAAAGCATACCTGCATACACACACACGTACGCCACACCTGGGCTCTCGAGATGACGCGCTCCTTCGTTACATCCTTGTAAACCTCTAGCCTCGTGTTCCCTTTTACACAACCTTTCATGCTTTAAGAAATACTTCAATCAGTGGAACTTTGTTAATCTGTAGAGAACTTGGACAGTCTCATTTTTAACTCGGCTCTAATGACAAACTAACTCTGCCAGTTCTATCGTCAAAAATAATTTATTGAAAGTGACCTGAACGAATGAAGTCTTGCTGTGACGTGGTCTGCAGACGGCAGGCGGTGCCGGATTAATAAACTAACGAAACTAACACCGCTCCAAAATGTCACGCAATAAAAACAACAACGACGAATTACGCATGGATATCAACTACACCCTCACTTATTTATTAATTTTTATGAAAATAACATATTTACATTAGTACTGAATTTATTATGCACTCGTTGTTTATCAAAATAATTTTAAAAATACTTTTTGTGATAAGGACCATTTGAAAATAATATATGCTCCGAACATTTACACGGCAGCACTAGCTACTGCACACACCAGCAATGACAAGAACGAACAAAACTTTTGAGCCGGTCTTCTATTTCATTCCTGGTAACTACATAAATTTCTTCCGTTAACTTCTCATATCTTCCAAAAATTTTCTTCACCGATTCTCCAAATTTGGTGCCCTGGGTTATATTTCAATTTATGCGTAAATAGCTAAATTTTTCTACTCTTCATGTGTTGGTCACACATATACATACATACATAAATACATACATACACGCATACATACATACACACACACACACACACACACACACATACATACATACATACATACGAACATACGTTCACATAGCCAGACAACATGATGAATTCACATTCATTTTTTAAATATTTAACGTTCTCTTAATGTTTTATTCCTTTTAGCGCAAGATTTGAAGATTTAGAAGAATATTGACTCAACACACATGAACATCTTGTTGAAAGGAAAAAGAATTCACTGAACGTTTTTAGCATGGAAGAGGTTTGAGATCTAACAGCCACGAAGATGGGTCTGCTCGAATCTCTGAATCAAATTTTTATTTATGTATATAAATTTTTTGAAAAATTATTTTGCGAAATGAAAAAGAGGTCAGTATGAAAGTGAACAAAAATGTGCAATGATCGTGTTGAAAGTGTGTTTAAAGTTGTTGACATTTAAAAACATGAACAAAGTTTACGCTTACAATTAATTTTTTATCTTTTTAGATTATAAAACATTGTTCCTTAATCTGAAACAGCAATCTATCTCTTGTTTCTCCTTGTTAATGAAAGCCTCGTCATTGCATTACCTTCAAGTGATTATATTTAATTATGACTTTAATTGGATTAATTTTCAGTTCCATGAGTTTGAAATTTAATAACGCGATGTTTCATATATTGATATTAATATTATTTTATATTACCATTGGCATGTTT